TGGTATAGCAACTGTTGAGTCGCCCATACTACTCTAAGTAACCCCACTAAATTGATTCAGCATGCTGGACTTGGTCAGAATCCTTTCTTCGGTCTCTTCAGTGGTATCTTAGGTGTGTAAGTGTCTCCCCAGGAAATCATATGATACAGTGTAACCTCTTTTGTATGCTGCTGTATACTTTAATTTTTTTTTTAAAGACTCCTTTTAGCAGTTTTAGAGATGTTGATTTTATGGGGCTGTTGTCTTTCCTAAGGAAAGCAAAAGTTTATTTAGTAAAGCAAGCACTTCCAAAGAGAGATTGGAAGGAACTGTCTCAGAGGGGACAGCAGCACAGTGGGTTCCAGGTTGTAGATTTTAAACCTTTATGGCTGTCTGTGAAAAGTGAAGCTTGGCATATTCATGAGGTAAAGTGGCCTTTTTCTCTTCCAGATCAGGGTAGACTAGGTCTTCCTTCAGTGTACTTCTTCCTGTGACCCTATGGAAAAGCCCACACGGTGGGTCAGAACCACAGTGTAATGATGTTACAGTGAAGCTGAGGCCTTCTGAGAATGCAGACTCTTGGCTAGTGCAGGTGTACGGGAAAAGTGCCCTGGCATCTTCAGTTTTCATATCATAGAACAACCTTCCCGCAGCCTCCAGATACTTAGCTACAAAGGAGCTTTCTGACTGTCAAGGTACAGCTGCAATTTTCTTTGCTGCCCCATATACAACTCCTTTTTAAGACTGCTTAGGGTCCTAGGATTAATCTCATATAAGGACATTTTGTATGGAACCAGGGTTTTACAGGAGCTTGTCAGGCTGTGCAAACAGGAAGCAGGCTGTCTCTAGGACTCCTTTCTTCCAGCTCCACCAATGTCCATCTTCTATCTAATAATTGGGATCCAAAAGATTTCAATTATGGGAAAGTTAGAAAAAAAGAATATTATACTTTTCATGTGGTAGAAGCTGAGATTTACTGTTAAATTCCTGTAGATTGCCAATACAAGCTGGCCCTCTTGGGTGAATTACAAATTGAAATTTTTATTGTTGTTAGATCTTTATGTGTAGGGAGAACAATTAGCTTCGTCTCCCCGCCTTCTTTGCGCTGCTGAGGCTAAACCCAGGACTGCACATGCTAGGCAAGTGCTTTTCTAATGAGTTATTTTCCCATTCTTCAATTCATTTAAAACATCCCCTTTGGGTTCTTTCATCATAGATAAATTGTAATCCCCCAAAGTAAAATCCGTACAAACATTTCCTTTGTCTTACAGTAATGCAACTTTAACCTGAAAAAATTATTCACACTATTTTCTAATTTATAAAAGTAAAACAGTATCTGCTTTTGTCTCCTTCCCAGTAGCATCTCTCAGAGGCTGGGCATTTTCCCAGTAGAGGGACATGGAATGAGAGCCCTAGCTAGCCAGTGAACTAACCCTGCTTGGTTAGTAATGTTTTCAGAGGCTCTGGTCTCTATCCTTAGAGAAGATAGTGCTCATCTCACGATGCTGCAGAAATGAAGGATAACATGAAGGTGTGCCTGCACAGTCTCCCTGATGGCTTAAGGTAAAGGGTAGGCATGATAGTAGCCTTCTGAGTTCTCAGACCGAGGTACTTGGTGTGGTACTCTGTATGGCTGGGGCCACAGAAGATTCAGAAGGCTTGGGTCACAGATTATATGTTCTCATTTGTGTTTAGCGGAGCAGACTATCTGTGAAATTTTGTAAGCCAAAATTTAAAGAAAGAAGTCTGTTTCCTCAAAGTGTTGCATGGGTTAGATCCTTTCTGCAGTATATTTTTTCATTTGAGCATAATTTGGCTTGCTGTTACTTTAATAAGCCACATGCCATAACAAACAGGGAATTCAGTACTTTCCCTGGGCTTGTCAACAAGCACAGTCCCAGGATTCAGTTCTTCCTGTGGATTGAGACATTTGGTATTTTGTGACCTACAACATCTCAGGTTAGGCCTACAGATATACCTGAGCCACTTGGAGTACAAGTTCTTCATTGTACCCTTTATAGCTATACATGCCCGCATGCTTCCCCAAATCCTAAGCTGCATAAACTCTCAACAGACAGGGAAGGAAACATTGATGTTCCTTTTTTTTTTTTAAGTATTTTATTTATTATTTTTATTTTATGTGTATGAGTGTATTGCCTGCATGTGTGTAAGTGCACCCATGTTGTGCAGTGCCCACAGAAGTCAGAAGAAAGTGTTGGATTCCTCCAGAACTGGAGTTAAGGATGGTTCATAGTCGTCATATGGGTGCTGGGAATCGAACCCTGGTCAGTGCTCTTAACTGCTGAGCCATCTCTCCAGCCCTGGAAACACTGATCTTTCTAAGTGTTAGTCTCACAGGTCATGAAGTAGATGACCCTGGGCCACTTTGTGTGTATGAAAACATGAGATTGTAGGAGCCGCTGTCTCCTTCACTGTATGCGCCTTTGACCCTGATGGCAGAAGGACACCAAAGAAGAGGAGGAGAAAGCTGTGTGTGAACATGCAGAATGGCTTGCCTTCGCCTGCATTAGTGTGAACATGCAGAACGGCTTGCCTTCGCCCGCGTTAGTGTGAATGTGCAGAACGGCTTGCCTTCGCCTGCGTTAGTGGCCTGCTTTCTGTTACCAGTCAGCTTGCTTGGTCCTTTTACTCTCACACATTAGGAACTGGAGGTGGGTGAGGAGTTTTTTTACCCTTGCCTCCTGGCAGCAGGAGTGGCCACAGCAACAGCCGGAAGCAGTAGCACATGGCACCCCAGTGTTGCAGCTCTCAATGGCCCTGTGGTGATGTTAAATTGTGGTGTAAACCTAGGATGTTGGCGTTTCCCAGTCCTTCATGGTGATTAGTGTTGAACTCCTGGCCCTGGGATAGCTGAGATCTTGACCTTTTAAGGCCTGGCAGCTCTCCAGAACTCTCCCAACAACCAGGGCCTCATGCTTCTCTGATTCTTTGCAGCCTAAAATCTCAACCGTTGTTTGCCATCTCTTATGCTTTTCTTAGTTTCTACTCCAGCTGGTCCATTACTGGCCACTCTCTAGAATGTTGCAGCTGCCTCTTGTCACCTCTGCCATGGTTGTCTGCTGCTGCTGTGGCCTTCCTCATATCATAGCAGTAGCTGAGTTCACACCATTAATGATGAGATCAAAAGTAGGCAAACGTTGCTTATTGGGCCCAGTGAGCACCAGAGAGGCTCAGGAGGTGCCTCTCAGTGGGCTCCCAAAGTGAGCCAATGGCCTCCTGATAGAGCCAGAAAAGGGTGCGTTGTACCAGTCCCAGCAGACCTTCATGCAGATGAATGAGTGTTCACACTAGTTATGACATTGTCCCTTGTGTGTACCAGTCATAACAGTTTCTGCTGAGCCATCAGGGGCAGGACTGCCCCCCGACCTTGGTGGACATGATTGCAGGGTCATCTGGATAACATCCAGACTTGTGATTGCAAAGATTTCAGCATAAACTGTTTGACGGTCATGGCTGGGACTGTACCTTCTTGAAGGAGCTAGACTTCGGTGCTTTGGCATCAAGCATCAAGGTTGCTGTGTAGTTTCTTTGGGATCTGGTGCTGACATGAGAGCAGTCTAGACGTCTGTTTAGCTGATAGCTCTTCACTATGGCAGCCAGTGCACCAGAGGGAGGCCGAATGACTGTCACCTAGGGAGCCAAATCACCCTGTCCTCCAACATTTTAATCTATTTACATGAAAAATAAAACATCAGTAGGAATGCTACAAGAGCTTATCTTTAATATTAATAGTGATTTTAACAGTGTTTAACATGCTTTATAACTGTCCAGTGTCCTACAGAGACAGTTGTAAGAACAGTCCTCTGAGGATAAAAAAGACAGTACACCATTTTTATGTGGCACCCAAAGATTATCCCTGGTGGTACATCAGGAGAGACGGAGTGACCAGTTGTGGAGAAGGGAGGACAAGGCACTGACCCTGTGCCTGCTGCTCCCCTGTAGGCCATGCCCTTTACACACAGCACCTGCATTAGCCCTTCTAGACTCTTGTGACTTATAGGCCCGGCAAGATTGTGGTCAGAGGGAGCTGGAGTGCAAACCCAGCTCTAGATGCCAAATCTCATGATTTTCCCTTTTTATTGGAGGAAATATTTAGAATCTTTTAAAGATAGACTGTTTCCTATGTCCTTATTAGTTGGTTGTAAAAAGAAATTTTGTGTAATTATTTCATGGGAAGATAGAGTAAAAAATCCTCTGTCCTGGAATTAACAGTGATTCCCATATGTGATTTCAAGCTAAAGAGACACATACTGTAGTTGGCATATTTTCTCACTGTGTAACCCAGAACTTGCTATGTAGCTCAAGCTGACCTTGGACTCACAAACTTCCTGCCTCTGATTCCTAAGTGATGAGATGGCAGGCTTGTACCTTCATGACCAGCTCTCAGCTTATTTCCTGAAGGATATTGTGGTGTAAAAAGTCAGCAGATCCTCTTCCAAGCCAATTGCCACCTCTGTAGAATGAGAAAAGCGCTCCTCAGCTCTTTGATGGTTAGTGTGATACTGTGGTCCTTGAGCAAGCTTGAGGCAGTGCTGGTGTGGAGCAAGTGCTCATAATAGAAGCTCCTGTTAACTTTCTGATTCTTGGTGTTACCGTCAGTGGTTCATTTACAGTGCCCTTGTGTTTACTCCATGCTATAGATAAGAGTGTTTTCTAACATCAGGGAATTTAACTTTCACATACGAGGCCACTTGGAATCATAATTAAGTTGCCTTTTCAATTGAGATTGCAGAAGTAGCAACGATAGTGAGTCCTTCACGCCAACAGTGAAACAGACTGTCCCCAGCTTCAGTGCTGCGACAGTCACTTGTATATAGAACTACGGGTTTGTGGGGTCCTGAGTTACTGTGGATGGAAATGGGTAGCAACTCCTGTAGTGTAGGAGCTTCTGAAAGTTGGAAAACTTTAGGTACCTAGGACTGTTTTATTAAAGTTTTGAATCTTGAAAGTGGTCTTTGTATTGAATCTATAATCTGCTGTGATATCATGTTCTTTTCTAGGGAATATCTTGGTAAACAGCTCCAATCCGAGCAGCCTCAGACGGCTGTTGCCCGCAGCTGAGCTGACCTCTTCAGCCCTTTCTGTTCCTCTGATGGACCACTGGAGTGAGAACCTTAGTCCTTAGGGCCAAAAATGAATACATTTTACTTTAATGATAGTTTTTTTCTGTCATGTAGCTTTTCCCAATGCTAATTTCTGGGGGTATGTGTGTCGGGGAGTGTTTGCTTGTTAATCTGTATAAAAAGTAGGTGTTGTGTATCTAAGGAAAATATTACTGTTACAGTGCTGCTTATAATTTCTGTATTTATTGGTCTCTGCAAATGAATATAATTATTAAAGGATTCTCACTTCAAACATGTCTTTTTGTTTTTGTTTGCTCCTTTCTTGGATATTTAACATAAGTCACATGTTCCATTTCAAACCAAAATTGAATTATTCCAAAGTAGTATATGAAAAACAAGTCCTCTGAAATGGTCACCCATCAGTACCCGTCTCCTCCTTCCCTGCCTCCCCCCAGTCCCCTTTGCTATTACTTAAAGTGAGCAATGCAGTATTATATCACTTAATAACAGGGATATGTTCTGGGAACTGCATCCTTGGACTATTTTGTCATTGTGTGGTCATCATAGACACATTTACATCTGCATCTAGGGAATGTCTTGGTAAAGAGATTAGTCCCTTGACTTGGCCTCTTGATGCACTAGAGACCCAGTCAACAAAAACGGATGAGGCTGCTGTTAGCATAGCATAAGAGGAAATTCCACAAAAAGCTTCTGTTGAGAAGTGGGAGTGCACTCTAAAATAGTGATAACATAGAGTAACTGAATTATACCATGGGTGTCTGTTATTGCTATCATTATGACCTGTACGTAATTATCTCTGTTACATTTTATATTGCCATATACACAGCACTGTACACTTCTTTAAGTGGCATTATCACACAGGTGAGTAAGGCCATATGCTGGCCATATGCTGCAGTGTCATGATGGCCTTGACATTGCTGTATCAAAGGTTTTGAACTCTGTTCTAATCTTATGGGATCACTATTGTGAATGTAGTCTTAGCCGCAGCATTGTTATGCAGTGAATGACTATATTTAGAAAAACTTAAGTCTTAAATGAATATTTTTTTTTTTGGTCTTTTTGAGACAGGGTCTCCCTGTAGTCCCAGCTGTCCTGGAACTCACTATGTAGACCAGGCTGGCCTTGAACTCACAAAGGTCCGCCTGCCTCTGCCTCCCAAGTGCTGGGATTAAAGGCGTGCACTACCACGCCTGGCTTAAATGAATTTTTAACATAATCCTGCATCCTAAAAGATTTGCTTGCCATGCTTAATGGAAAATTTTACCTTTAGGGTAGATTGTTTCATTGATTTCTTATACTTTCATCCTTGATTTTTAGTACAAGTTTGGTTAAATATTGCCAGTAGCTTTTTTTTTTTTTTTGTAAATTTTTATATCTTTATACCCCTTTCCCATTGGCACCCTCCTAATGTGCTCCCCCACCAGTAGTCATACATTCTGTCTTTTGCAGTAAGGCCTGTCATGTCAAGTTAGTGTCCCCAGGTGTCTCTCAGTGCAAGTTCATCCACTGGGGTCTAGTCAGCCTATCTAGAGTCCCTCACTTCTCACTTTAAGATCAGCTCTTCCTCACCCAGCAGTAATCAGCTGCCAATAATTCTCCCACTAAGACTGGGGTCTGCTGTAACTGTCTTAGTTCTTCCCTCTTTATTTCTGGAGCTACACCTCTAGCTGTGTGTAGGTGGCAGACACATGCTCCCCACCCCCCCCGAAAACTGAGCCTTTTGATTTTTAACTTCAGCAGCTGATCTGAGTCTCATTTTTCATTCATTTCCTTTTTAATTTTTTTTTTTTAACTTCTGGAAATTGTGCTATTGAGTAACTGTGCTGAGGCTAATAACCTTTTTGCCAAGTTGTTTTTGTCTTCTATAGAAAGACATTCCTATACTCCTCCTGTTTAAGAGATTGCTTCATTTTCAATACAAGTCCTGTGGGAAAAGCTAGTTCAGATGGTGGGTGTTTTGTTACTGGGTGTCCTTCTGGGCTTTTGTTCTGTGATGAACACCTTGGGGAGGAAGGGGTTCATATTCAGCTTGCACATCAAGGTCACTGGGGGAAAGTTAGAAACCTTGGAAGAATACAAAGAATACTGCTTACTGACCTGCTCCCTCTGGCTGGTGTTCAACATGCTTTCTTTTTAAAAAAAAATATTTTATTTATTGTTTTTATTTTATGTGTATTTATTTTATGTGTATTGCCTGCATGTATGTGAGTGCACCCATGTCGTGCAATGCTGTGGAGGTCAGAAGAGGGCTTCAGATTCCCCTGGAACTGGAGTCAAGGATGGTTCATAGCCACCATGTGGGTGCTGGGAATCGAACCCGGGTCCTCTGCAAGAGCAGTCAGTGCTCTTAACTGCTGAGCCACCTCTCCAGCCCTCAACCTGCTTTCTTATGCAATCCAGAGCAACCTGCTCAGGGGTGGCACTACTCACAGTGGGCTGGGCCCTTGCACATCACAGTTCTCTATAGACATGATCAAAGGCCAATCTGATCTTGGAAATCCCTCGGTTGAGGCTCCCACTTTCCAGGTGACTCTTGGTTGTGCCAAGATGACGAAAACTAACCAGGACAGTGGTTTTGTGACGTGATTTTTGTCCAGGATCCATGTGGTGAAAGGAGAGAACTAGCTCCTTCAAGGTTGTCTTTTAACCTGTACTCATGCACACACACACACAAAAGGTAAAAACAGTTTTTAAAATTGTTAAAATTGTTTAGATATTTTTACTTGCAGAAACATGAAAAAATACCGGGCAGCTTTATTTCAGCACTACTCAGTCTGCTTTAACAATAGATCAGTTTTCATATTAATGTGTTAATGGTTGGGAAAGTTATTAGGATTTTGAAACAATGTCCTGAAGTTCTAATGATCAGAGACACTGAAGGCTTCTGTGTTTCAGAAGGACACATTGATTTCTTTGTCATAGGTTTTGGTTTCCTTATGCACAGCCTTGATTTCTAAACTGGAAGTCAGCCCTGGTCGTCCTGGTAGAAATGGTTAGTGTTTAATTCCTCAGCACGGTGCCACCACATTCGTGTTGTCCCGGCATTACAGTGAACTCTCTCAACATCTTTTTTTACTTCTCAAACTATAATACATTTTTCTGTTAATGTCTTAAATATTCAGTGATGGCATTTTAAGCCACATTATAGTAGTGCCTTAATGAATAGCCTGACTCTTAGCATCCATTTTAAGGCCAAAAGCAGACCTGAACTGCCGAGCACCTGTCACTTCAGATGTCTCTAAAATTGTGTTCCTCAGCCAGATCTTTGCTTATTACTCTATTGAATCAGCGTCTCCAGCATGAAATGGGGAAGTAGAAGTCAGGGCCCAGTCTTATTTATGAGAGAATCTTGCCCCTTGATCCCTAGGCCTAGAATATCACACACACAAAGACTTCTCATTTTCTCTCATTACTTTAATGAGATGAGCATACAAGTTTTAGCGCTTTGATACATAAAACATACATACCCACATTCATAAACTATCTTCCTTGGGTGGAGGACAAGGAGGGGTCCTGAGGGATTAAGGTCATATGCCCAGGTCACAAGAGGAGCATATGGCTCTGAGTTTGTTTACCTTATAAACAGTAACATTTTGGTTGCAAGATTAGGTAAAAGTCTTTAGCTCAGATTATGTCCATATTGTAAAAGTCATTCCTACAGTTAAATCCTCAAAATTTAGTATCATTTACACATTCATTTAAATTGGGTGTACCTAACAGAGCACACTTAAAAATCTAAGTAGTAACTGCTTGTGAACCTAATCAGTCACGTAAACAGAGAGCAAATTCTGTGCATTTAAAAAGAATGCCTAGTAACTATGAAATGGGTAATTTCACTTGTGCAAAACAATTTATAAAAAATAAGTATTATTGAGTAATTCATTTCCTCAATGCTTCTGTGACTGAACGCAATGGGTCCACCTCTTGGTAAATATAAAGATCACAAGCACAATCAGGGAATAAAGGCATGGAGAGAGGCTTACAACTTGCAGCAGGTTTGGAAAGCTTTGGGGTTAACTCTCAAAGCAGTGTCTCTACAAACAAAGGCACCAAGGGGTTTAATTAGGGAGGTCTGCATATTCCTGGTAGATTTGTCCTTGCATATATAGGGGCATAGTCCTGTACACATGTGATTTTAGATCATGCTTCTTCATACATTGGCATGGAAAGTTTAAGAATGGTAAGCATTATCTTCAGGGTAGAGGATTTTACATAAGATTATAACGAGAAGGGTTAAGTCACTTCGGAGCGGGGTTGGATGGCTTCGGCTAGTTTAAATTGGTTCCTTCTGGTCTTCTTTGGAGATCCTATTTGAAATAACTAAAAATCAATTTGAAGGGCTGTAACAGCTTCTTCCCCCACAAGTAAGGATGCTTAGCCCTGTAAGTTCCTGCCTTGCAGCTGACTTTTACGCCTTTCCATTTCATAAATACACATGGAGCCAGGAGGACCGGGCCCTTAGCATTTTATGTTAGCCAAAGTCAGTAGCTGAAAATGAGTTGTTCCCCCAGGTGTAAACCATAAGCCTGGAATCAGGAGGCTCATTAATGGTGTTTTGTAAGTGTGTGTGTGTGTGTGTGTGTGTGTAAGATGTTTGTATCTTGTGTTTGTAAATTGAGATTATCATGTAATATTTTTGAGAATTTCATACATGCATGTAGTGTATTTAAGTTTATCCAGCCTTTTATTTATTCCCACATCTCCCAGCTAGCCACCCAGCCACATCTGCCTCCCGGCTTCATGTTCTGTCTTGCTAAAAGAAATTAAAAAAATTTTATGTATATGAATGTTTTGCCTGCGTCTAAGTACACCTGTGTCATGCAATGCCTGTGGAGGCCAGAAGAGGGCATTGAATCACCTGGAACTGGAGTTACAGTTAGCTTCCATGTGGATGCTGAGAACTAAACATGGGTCCTCTGCAAGAGCAGCCAGAGCTCTTAACCACTGAGCCATCTCTCC